TACGGCCGCATAGCGCCACCAGATCAAACCGGCCTTACAGAGGGCACCAGCATTGGCCCTATATAAGGCTGGTATCAGTCTTCATGAGGATTTTTATTTCCTCCGGTACGGACCTTATTGAAGACGCGTGCTCCTACTGTAGGCCATACGAAGCGGACGATGCGGTTTGAAAATGTGCTTTGTAATCACGTTCATATCATGCTTCCCAGCCAAGCCTTTAATCGTCTCTCAGGTACATGTCCAACCAGTGCGACAAAACATTTCCGGCAGACAAACATGAAAATTTCAATACAGAATTAATATAGCATACAATAGACATCGGCCAGATCCCCCGGTTCGCAGAAAAAATAAAGGAAACAAGTCCGTGCGCATTTATGTAATCTAAGAGGCGAACGCCTGAGGTAGGGAAAACAGGTCAAGCGAGAAACACATTTAACGGCTCAAAACCGGGTAGGCAAATGTCAATTAAGGCGTCGTACGTACACCCCCTTTGTTGTTTTGGCAACCCCAATGTAACAACCGACCAACGAACAGCAGCACCATGCAGTCAATCATTCCTGCCATACTTCCGAGAAACGACTGAAACAGCACATGTAACGGCACAGATGCCCAACATGACAAAACCTCCTGAAACGAAACGAGACCACCGCCGACACAGCAAACATATGTGGCGGTAGGGGTACTGTAGTCCCTTCACTGGTAGCGTTGGGAGGGGTACGTGCTGCTAGTTCCGCGAGGCTGTGCATTAGCTGTGCACGAGAGAGGGTGCAATATGCGGCGAAACCAGCGTCACTTCTACGGAGACCAACTGTATTAGGGGAAGGCGGGGGGCCATACCCGGCCTTATATAGGGGGTGCCCCATACACGGCCGCCACCGGCCTAATATTTAGGGCCGGCGGTCTTATATAAGCCCCCTTACTGCATAACGTAGCAGGGCAACATCTATTTATAGAGCCTGGATGCCTTTGGTTTTGGGCTCGACGAGTGCGATTTCTATGAAGGGCCGTCGTTGTTCGCATATCTGGCAACGATGGGATGATTAAAACCGAACCTGAAGGTCAGTTCCTTCAACCATATCGGCCACGACACCGATTCCGCGGCCTTATCCACATGTAATACGAAACACTTCAGTCGTTTAGCCCAAGCCACCGTCCCTAGGCCACTTGCAGATGATGATGGTCTCACCCGCAGGCTCTCTAAGCTTGACTGCGCGTCACTGGCAATATTATGAGGCAACACATCCACATTACGGGCCCACGTCAAACCAGAAGCCCGCGCCACCGGCGCGCGACTCAGGATGGGACCCTGCCACTGTAATCGTCCGGTAACGTGTGTGCTTTAGCAGGACACCACAAGCTAGAAGGTATTTCGAAGTCGACACGAAAGTGCAACCTTGGAAACCTCCTGCACGCCATGCAAACCTCCAGCGACACAAGTTGTATAACCTCCAGAATAGGCACGTACCATCGGCCGTCTCCTGCCTCGCAATGTGGGTTTAACGCGACGATAAACGCGGCCAGGGACCGACTCCCTCCTTTTGTAGGTGTGAAGGGTAGGAGAGAAACAAAACAGATAAAGAAAGAAGTGGCGCAAGAAGTGGCGCAATCTTGATGAAGGTACTTTGCTTCGTGGTTGGGTCAGGTCCGGAACTGGGAGCAAATAGAGGACATTGCTGCCCAGACTCGTTTGTAACATGATGAACTTATCAAAACCATCCGTCGAGTGGCAGCCATGGCACATCGTGCCGGTGATTGATTCCTGTTGGCCCCTGAGGTATTCGGCGAGTCGCATGAAGGGTGCACTGTATCCTGCAAAGGGTTTTCGGCATCTTGTGCATACTTCCTTGCGTACGCATGACAGCTGCATATGACTTTATTTATTTTCTGGTGCTTTCACTTCCAGAGACAGTTATAAGCACTGTGTAACTGCCTCGAGGATGCTTGGCCATCTTAACACAGCGTGGTGCGATCATCCCCCTTGTGCGGAGTGAGGGTTCTCGACCCCCCACAACATAATCTACTCGAGCGCCATTATGGTTACCGCCAAAACAAAAAACAGAGGTAAAAAAACCGGTAACCTGGTTGCCGAGTGCACGAAGTGAATTGGCTTGTTTTACAACGTCGTTGCCAAGCGACGAAAACCCAATCCCGATGGCAAACACCGGGGGGGGGGGCAGGGGAAAAACTGCAAACCACGTGTCCGCCCCCTCTGAACGTAGGCCACCATATTCGTGGAACAAATTGTCACTAACGTGAACATCCCCGAACAACATGCCGCAGACAAAGGCGGGGAGGAATGGCCAATCCCTCGGGTAAAGGGTAGGCGGATGGTGGCCCGAAAGCGATACATGGTGCTTTGGGCGCAGCAGCTTAGGACTGCGGGGTCTACTCCTGAGCCAAGTCCTTGTGCGTCATAAAAGAGGCATTGGGTGGCCGGGTGGCAACCGATGTGATGCCGGCAATGGGCAGCAGCGAGGGTTCGAAGTGGATGGAGCAATGCCCACGCCAACATTTCTCATGCGGCGACGGGTGCGCGTCCAGGTGTAAAAATGACTTGAGGGCAAGTTTCTTAGGTGCCGCAAGGTACGATGGCGGGGCGAAACAAATAGAAGACAACCACCACCCACATTCTCCTTGCGTATCGCTGACCCCGCCGCTGACCCCGCCGCTGACCACTTCGTGAACAAGAACACTGTCATTCGCAGGCCATCGATCTCCATGTTATTTTCGACACACACGCGACGGCCTGGTCGGGGGTGGGCTGGAGATGATGATGAGTATTCGTCAGATTTCTCATCTAGCACGGGTCCTGCCGCACATGCAGCAGCGCCCAACCACTTCCACGCCACTGATGAGGTGTTATCCCATGGGAAATTTGAGTGGTCAGGACAGATCACGCGGGATTAGGCACACACACACACAGATAGGATAGATGTATCGATATGCATGCGTGTGTATACGTCATTAATTTGTTCTTGATGCTCCGGAAGTATGGTCTAGGGCTCTTGTGCTCGACAGCATGGCGACTAGCTGACATCCTATGCCTGAGGGCAAAGTCGACAGGAGTAACTCACCACGCCCTGCTTCCACTAGTCTTTGTCAACGGCACTGTTTTCGACTTCCGTCAGCACGCAGCAGAATAGCCCATCACACCATCACACATTGCTCGCTGAGTTCGCAGAGTATCAATGCGAGGGCAAGATCTCCCAACCACCTGATCATGGACAACGTTCGGAACCATCGTTCGTTGTCTTGGATGCCGTGCGGCTCTCATCGTCATCGTTTGACAAACCCCAACGGGTACAATTTTGGCCTGTTTTTATCCCCCCTGTATCATACTGCCGCGAAGACCACCCCGAAGTAAAATCAAATTCATTATCCAAGTTGGATGTAGGTTTGCCTCGGACGCAACACACGTTTCGCAAGGGGCGCCCTCAGTAGGATTGTTGTCAGTACACGGGAGAAACTATTCTACAGGTACGTATCATAGAATGGGTCGCAGTTGCGTGTGTGTGTGGATCGGCAGTCTTGGTGGGTGCACGCAGCATGTCACAGCGACACGGGACATTCGTTATGTACGTTGAACATGACATAACCAACAGGCGGGATTTGGGAGACTCGCGCAGAGCATGAGTGACCACATAAGGCAGCTCTGATCAAGGACATCGACGTACCGAAGTATGGGGGGACCGGCACTGCATGTGCTCTCTCTCTCTCTCTCTCTCTCTCTCTCTCTCTCTCCGTTTCGCCTTCTCTCAGTGCCTCCGTTTCGCCTTCGCCCTCACACGCAATCACCCCGTGGTTTTTGTGCATGATATCGGTAACATCATCCGCCCCCTCTCACCTTCGGGTAGTCATGGCAACGGCTGTGCACCAATTGGTCCGTGCTTTGTGTGAATCACGTCAACTCTAGTTGCAGGCCCACTGCACTCGTCGCACTCGCCTGGTTGCTCGTGAGCGAGCTCTTCCGAGCATACGGCGGGACCCCTTTTCAAGATCGATTGCGCGGCAGAAAACATGCCGGTTGAGAAGAACCGGTTCCGACGACACCAGACACCAGACACCAGACACCAGACACCAGACGTCTGGTCTGGTGTCCAGTGTCCAGCGACGTCCGGTCTGCCGTTCTCGCTTTTTCGCGTTTTTCACATAGGCGGAGGTCGAGGGTCCGGTGTCCGGTGCCCAGTGCCCGGTGTCCTGACATCAGTATTCCTGACTGCTGCCTCGCGCTCTGTGTGCCACGTGTTTGTTGTGTTTTCTGCCCGTAGCAGAACTGTAGTAGGCTCGCCACCCCAGTTTTTTCGAACTCGTTCCAGCACAGGAACGCAGGCACCGGTGGAAGTTTGAATATGCAATCTGGACGGTTTACTGCACGGTAGAGGCACCGCCGGTGACGCGGGCCCGTCGGGAATTCGTGCGTGTATGTTCTAATCTACTGCTGAAGTTGAGTTCCCTCATTTCGTGCGATGCGCAGACTGGTGTGCTTACATGTAGTCTCGCCTGTCTCCGTCTGTTTGGTGGACTACTCTGTATACAGAAATTTGTTCCATGTACTTGTACAGCAGTACGACCGGCAACTCGTAGACAGAGTTGTCGGCCGTGATGTTCGTACCAAAGAGGACAAGGTCGTGTCGACGCGTGTATAATAGTAGAGTCTTACGAAACTTGCGATTCGCAGTTTGACACTGGCTACCTTAGGTCCAAAGTCGCACACGCATGTAATTAATGGACTCACAGTTTACAGAGGACAACGCCTTACGGCGCAAGTGTCGCCGCAGATCAACCCAAACCACAACCACCGTATCCAAGCAGCCACAAGACGTGCTGAGCTGAAAGGCGGAAACATCCACACTACACGTATCAGAGCTCCGACATTGCAAGCATCTCTATAGGAACTACTCTACAGCACCGGAAGCTCGGCAACACAACAAACGTTATCTCAGCCGCGGCGTGGTCTAAACACCCACGATGAGCCTATGAAAAAACACAACCCGTCGTTCTTAGCAGCCCTCGAACCCGTGGTCGGACGCGTACGTGAGAATAACAAACGATGCCGCCCACACCGCTAAATCCCTTAATCGGCATTTCCAAAACGTCGCGTTTCTCTCAGCTAAGCCGGCGTCGCGCCTCGCCTCCGTCAACGCCCTTTCCACCGTCTCGTTGACGTTAAACGCCATGGACGGGTGCATGGGAGGCGGAGCGTGGGAGCTGGTGGTTGCGCTCGGAGGTGCGATAGGCGGGGGAACAGCCATCGGGTTGAACATACGGGGCGGGGACGCCCTAAAGGGTGGAACAGCCTCGCCAGTCGGCGTCGAATCACTACGTGAGGACGGACCCCCGCCCTGCTGGCCCTCTCCTGTCGGTGCCGCGTCCTTCGGTGACACGCCAGCAGTGAACGCCATACATGGGGGAGGAATTCGCTTGCTTCCTGATGATCCCTTGTCTTCGATGGCCGTCTTCGGAGTCGCTTGGCAGAAGTTCGCCTCGCGGTGGAGAGTTGGTGGGGTACGCGGACCTGGTGGTGCGTCGACGGCAGCCGGAGTCATCGTCGCAGGAGCAGACGTCCGGCGGTTGCGGAACCCCGCACTGCCTGAGGAAGCTTGCATTCCCTTCTTCCTGTTCAACTTTCGCTCCTCCCTCTGCCTCTTGAGGAACTCGGCCCGCTCTTTCTTCGAAACACCATCCTCTACCAGCGGCCCTGTCGTCCTGCCCGGTGGGGCATTCTGCGCGAAACAAACACCAGAGCGGATACGCAGCAGACGTTACAAGTCAGCTCCCACGTGGCCCTAACGCAACTGCTCGTACTTTATTGGCGACATCTCGCCATCACACAACTGATCTTTTTCGACGTAGGGTGGGCATGAAACGTAAAATGATTCCTTGATGAGGGAAATGTTTTGAGAAGGCCAAGAATATTTTCCACCGGTGACAGAGCTAACCATCAATGTGATATTGAAAAATACTCCCCCGAGACAGTTCCCAACGCTCGCGGGCAACAGAAGCTCCAGAAACACGGTCAGCACGGCAAACAAATCACAAACACAATGGCACGCCCATTACATCCCTTCAAGAGAAACAAATTCTTAACGCGAATTCTATCGGCGACAACAATGGGCGTTGGAATCTGTCTCACGTTTAGGGCCCTCGTCACACCCGCAAGATCGGCAGCTTGGGCGGCCTCGGACTCCTGCTGACTGATCGGCACAATCGGCGCGGTCGGCGGCTCCGGCAGAGCTTCTTCCGACAGGTTAGCCCCTGCGGCTTCGACGCTAATATTGGCACTTGCCCTCATTTGGCGGCCAGGCGATGGCAAAGCGTTTAGGGCCTCTCCCTCTTCGTGGGGAAGCCTCTCGATCTTGCGCATCATGCTGCCATCCTTCGCCACGTCGGCGTCTTGCGTCAACGGCGGCTGCGAATACAACACGCCAAGCGTCGCCTGTCACAAGTTTACGACAAACGGGCGTCATTGGAAAAACCGGTTCTTCTCGTGAAAACATGCCTATCCTAAATCCAGTATGCAGGCGTCAATATTTACAAGAAAAGGAGGTACTTTTCGAGCATGACACAGATGTACTTGACACGCCACGTTCGCACCTGGGCCTTCATAGATACGTCGTCCATATCTTTCCTCGCGTCAACAAGCGCGAGCAACGATGCAGTGGGTGCGCCCGCGAGTTCGCGTGCAACCGTTACGGCCTCCTTCTCCACCATGAGTCGAACCTCGGAGGACGTCAGCTGCAACGGCTCTCGCCCACCACCACGCCGGCGGCTGCGCCCTGTATCGTTACGCGTCTGTTCCATCATGCTCGACGGCGTGATTTCTGGCTTGGCCCTCTGCGACACAGTGAATTTGCGTCGATTAGGCGACGACACCGGTTAGAAAAAATATTGACATATCGCGACTGTATCACAGGCGGGAAGCTCCCTGTGCACCGCCGGAAAAATGGGTGTACTGCAGTGTAGGTCAAGATCACGCTCCAGGCCTTACTTGTAGACTTACCCGGCTGCGAGCCTGGTTTTTCTCCTTGGTCCGCTTCTTAAGGGCCTCATTGCTCAAGGCCAGGTAAAAGTGACCCCATCTCCGGAAAGCAACCATCAGAAGCCGCTCCTTCCTGAGAGTCACCAAAAACATGCAACCAAAACGACGCGAAAGGATTCATTGTCAATACCACAAATACAGTTGTATCGCTTGAGTACGCATGAACAAGTTGAGGCACACAAGATTCATGGCGGCCGAGAAGGCCTGACCAGGTATGTTTGACGAGGGTTGCAAAAACGGAGTGGCGGGCTCTAGCTGTATTCCGACGATACCTGCCCGGAACCAACAGCCACTAATTTGACGAACGTATTAGTACCGTATATGACACAAGAAAACACACCCCGGTCGTGACATTTTGGAGTTTGAAAATATTATCACGGGGTGTGATATCCTGTGGGGGGTGTGTTATCTTGTGTACCCCGGGTGATAAAGTGCAGCTCGCAGGGGCCCCTGAGGGTGTGTGATAAAACAGGGGGTGTGATAGCGCGTCCGAACACCCACAGCGTGTGTTTGGGGGTGTGATAGCGCGTCCGAGCACCCACAGCGTGTGTTTGGGGGTGTGATAAATGAGGGTGTGTGATAAAAGGGGGTGTGATAGCACGTCTGAACAGCCACAGCGTGTGCTTTGGGGTGTGATAAATGAGGGGGTGCGATAAAAGGGGGTGTGATAGCCATGCCTGCAGTGTAGGGACCTACCTAAAGGGGCGTGGAAAAACAAAGGGGCTCAACCGAGGTGACGAAACTCCTGAGCACATGACCTCGGCGATAACTCAACCCTCTCATCGCCAAAAAAGGTTTGAAACAAAATACGGGCTTGAATCGAGCAAGAAAATACTAAAAATCGAAGGTACCTCGACCGATACGATGATTGGCGGTGGCCACAGACTGTGTGCGCCATCCTTCCCTGCCCCCCTCACAAAAACGTTTACTTGGTACTTGCGGCTTCATTCTGCTCTGCCTGCACGTTCATTGTGTTGGGGGTCTCCATGCGGGATCTTTCCCCGCACACAGCTGACGTGGTTGTGTGTGTGATTGCCCAGGGCAGATGCTGTCACCCCGGTGATAATGAAGGAGGGGCCCCGTGACTATATGCGGCGTATCTAAAAATATCACCGGGGTGTGTTTTCTTATGTACCCCCGGTGATAAATCGATGGTTTGTCAGAAGCGCCCAAAACTATCACCGGGGTGTTGTATTCTGTGGGGGGTGTGCTTTCTTATGTAGGTGTGTTATCTTGTGTCATATACGGTACCCAGACCTCGAGCAACGATGATCCAAGTATTATTTCGCACCTGAGGGTCGCCTTGACGGTCTCTACTTCCTCCTTGGCTTGCCGGAGAGCCACCTAGGTCAGAAACATTCGGCAGAAAAAACACCGACGAGATGAGTTACAGAAGAATATCTCCCTCGTGCTCGAACGTGGTTTCTTCACTCCAGGGGTGTGAGTGAGCGACCAGCTGCGAAGTAGCTCTTGAAAGACCTGCGCTATAGAATCAGAACCGATCACCTCGGTGGTTGAAATCGGAATCTTGGACCCTTCTGACACTTGGGGCTAAGCTCACGGCCCCGTGAATTCTATTCTTGGTGTAGTCGCCCAACTTGGAGAGTACAATTTCTCACGCACTGCCCTAACAACAAGAGGATACCGAGTGAAATATGTGCTTCGCGCGTGTAACCAACGGCTGAAACATTCTCACCATAGGTGTTAGGGCAAGGGCCGAAACGCAAAGGCGAAGAGAAAGAATATCTAATTCGTGTGACCCCGGCTGGTGTGTCCAAACATACCGACGGTGCTGACGATGCTCAGAATAACTGGAATACGAAACACGCACGAGGAGGGCAGCACGCCAACAAGACTAGGGCCTCCCTCAACGTCCAGTCTAGAACTGTTTCGCTAAGAAGAGGTGTTGTGTTCTAGGCAACCGCTGTTCAAGTCCTCCCGGTTGGGGAGCTCGTTCGCCAGCTTCTGGATATGATGAACTTGGGCTTGCAGCTGTTGGGCAGCCAGAACGTCCTTCATGTGACGAAATAACCTTCAGGCAAGCACTCAGAAACAAAAAACTCGAATCGACACACTTGCTGCCGACTGAAAATAGGTCGATCCCTAGCCCGACCTGTACGCACCTCATGCATCACAGTGTTTCCGTTGCATTCGACCACTGCTGATGTTGATCTTTCTTCCGTCTGTGCTCTGTCACGAAGACCGCCATCGTCTTGGGCTACCGCCCTGCGCAACACAGCATCCGGAACGGGAAAATAATCTGGTGAGCACACGTGTCCATAGGAACGGTTGCATGCCATCGCGCGTGGGCGACGCTGAAACGACACTTGGTTTCTAACCGTGTGGTGTATCTCATGCAACCACCGAACGCGGTAGTTGCAAAGGTATCAAAGTGAGGGTCTCTTGCATGGTCTTGTAGCGGAATAAATTCGCCATTCACTGCGGTATCAGTAATCACCCTCGTTCCCAGAACATGTGAGACATACTTGCTTGGGTGCGTCTGTCCCTAGCACCGGCTGTTGATTTACATCACGGGTGTTGGCTCTGTTACACACGGTGCGCACCTTCGCGAAAGCTCCGATTCTGCAACTTGCATTCGGCGCTGCAGGCTGGTGACGCCACGGGTGATCCAGCTCCACCCTGAACCGAGGGCAACCTCTCCCTGTGAATGATGAACAACACGTAACAAAACATGTGTTAACAGCATTTGGCCACATGAGCAATATTGTACAGTAAGTGACGTCCTCGCCGCACTGCGGTTGAAACAGTTCAAGAGGGATGAGGGTGGTATTTCAGCCAACTTCACCCCAGAAGTGAGCAACAGGGGGTAGGCCTTGCCATGTTGTGCAATGCCCAACAAGGTGCGCTGCTGGTGACGATCTGCCTCGGAATGCGCACCTCGACCGCAGTCCGTAGCAAGGCCTGCGCCGTGGCTTCCAGTACGTCCTCCGCAGTGGCCAGCTGCTGCTTTACCTCGGTGATCTTGTCTGCGATCCTGAGGCTGGACACAACAGCTTCTCCGCTGCGCTCGCACCTGATAAATGCATGCGAGGCAGATAAGCAAAGAAAAACTTTTGAAAGATTCCGGAGATAAGGCATTTTTTCTGCGCAACGACGATGTCGATAAATACCTTTCGCGATCCAAGACAACAAGGCGAGAAAATCGTGATGGTTGTTCCCCGTACGCTATAGTCAAGAAATAAACAAACCTGCAATGAATTGTATTGTTTATTTCATGATGCCGCCTTTACTCTGGGATTGCCGAGCCTAGAACTAAGCATTCCCGCGGTTATTGTGGCATCAACAGGACTCTAAGAGATCATGACTCACCCAACCAGCTCAGCGATATCTCTCAACGTCATCATCAGCGTCGCCCGCGCCCCCTCGGCTTCGTCGAACGTTTGCGACGCAATCGCTTTCTCTTCCTTTTGCGAGCGAATCACCTCCTGTAATTCTAAAAGCTTAGCACTGGCTCGGCTTGCGAGAGCTTCGGTGGTCTCATTCAAGTGGAGCTTCTCCCCTTCCAAACCACGAACAACGCTCTCGAGCTCAGAAACCTTGGACAAGGCACTTTGCAGCTTGCTTGCGCTGGCAAGGGCGGACGCGAGCTCTTCCTCCGTGGCCTCCGAAGTCTTCTGTGATGCCAACACTTCGGACTCGACCTCGTGTACTCGGTGCTTCAGAGTGTCAGCTAGGGCTCTGGCCGACACCGCTTCCCGCTCCTTTGCAGACAGTTCTTGAGACGCAGATTCCAAAGCCTTCCTCAACCCCAACATGTCGGACTCAACCTCCTGCATCCGGTGCTCCAGAGTGTTTGCAAGGGCTCGGGACGAATCCGTCTCCTGTGTCTTTGCAGCCAATTCTTGCGACATTTCCACCAGTGTCCTTTGTGCCTCTTCTAAGCGAGCCCGAAGCTCGATAACTTCATGCTGTATGTGTACACAATCAAGAACAATGTTGCAATGAACAAATTGTCCCATTACTGTAGCCGCCATGTGAACGATTCGAGCGACATTCCACGTTCACTAGGAAACACCACGCTACGGTATATTGCGCTCCAAGTGTATAAAACGATGCTAAAAAAACAAATCTGGCCAAATTACTCCGGAGGGAATATAACGAAGCGCAGCCATTTCACGGAGAGGTCAAGGTATCAATGCTGCTTTGTGTTGTCTCTGGAGTCTGGTAGATGGGTCAGATGACCACGAGCGTGTAGAAAAGCATCAAGTTGTAACTAAGCGTTCACCCAAACAGCAGTGCAAGAAAAGCGGCCACTTACTTGCTCAGTCGCCTCCCTTTCCTTGGCCACCTTTTTGTAGTGCGACACCTTGCAGTTCAGCGACATACGCGAAGATATCACAAATGAACACGCAAAACGATCGTGGAGGGAATGGGAATTGCCACACGATCACAGCACGGCATAACGAAAGCCGTTGATGCACAGGCGCCAACACTGCTGCAAACCAATAATCAACCATCAGAGGGGAAGATTTCTTCTCGAGATATCGTTGGTCGGCCACGTTTAAGCGCAACTGTAAATAGGCAGCAACAGTTTTTGTTTCTTTTTAACAACTAAACAGGCATTTTACTCGCATTCGTTGACATCGTGTTCAAGAATTACACCAGGAGCTTCACAGACCTGTTTTCGAAGGGTGGTACATTGCCCAGTGACCTCTTTGACTTGTTTCTGGATGGCCACCTTCTCACGAGCCATGGCGCTTAGTTGCCGCTGGAAGGATTCCCACGTAAATCTCAGCTCTAATTCCATCGCTTCCGCCTGGAACGACGAAGAGTTGGGAAACAGAAGCAGTCACATTCATCATTCGTTCTTGTGGGACACAAGCGGATTAAACCTTAAACTTGACAACGCAGACAAACATGTGGACCCACGGTGATAGCTGACGATAGCAAAGACTACACCCCCTTCAAAAGACACATCGTTCAAGCCTCTCACACCGTGGCATCAGGTGGTAGCTCAACAACGCGCAACTCCATACCTGCAGCCGGACAACCATGTGCTGATTTCTCGCTTACATGTGCTTGAAGTTGTTCAGCCTCAGCGCCTGTAGAGCAAGGTGCCACCCCATTGGCTATCGCAGAGGCTTGTTCTTTTCCGCCGGTGGGAGCGTTTCCGTTGTTAGCCGGAGCGGTTACCCCAAACAGGACGTTAGCGCACGTGTCGCCGTTTACCCTGCAAAGCAAGGAGGAGGCAGAAACAAAACAGGCAGAGTCCAAATCACTCAACACCGCTCTTTTCAGCACCGTGCGAATGCTGCCGGGGGAAAGAACGTTTGGGTTGTGCGGCGTCGAATCTGTCCACTGCTTGGTTCGCTCACCTAAACACCGGTGCCGCTACCACAGGGAGTGGACCGGGGGCTCCGACCGTTGCCGATGCTGCTGTTTCAGGTGCCTCCTCATCTCGAGCCCGTTCTACCGCGATTGCCCTCTCTGTGATGGAACAGTCAAGGGCATAGCGTACGCCGAAACAGGATGGGTTGACATAGAACTACATTCCCCAGAGCCGCACAAGCCAGAACAACATATGGCACATCAGACGCTTGCTGGAACAAAAAAGACGAGCGGAACTGAGGACTCGAGTGAGCTACAATGGGCCGGCTACAGATGCCTGGAGCCGCACCACTGTTGCGCCGCCGAAAGAACAACCCCGGGAAAAACATATATGTCATCTTCAAGCGCTGCGTTCTACTTTACTATCGGGGGTGTGTGTGTGTGGGGGGGGGGGGTGTACTCATAGTCGTGCATGCCGTAGTCGTTTGACCATTGACCTCGCATCCCTACAAAGCCGGGACGGAGCATGCCGGGTTCTCACCGGACCAGGCTCTCACATCACCAAGCGCGAAGCGCCGTGAGGTATTTGGCGAGTCGCATGAAGGGTGAGCTGCCATCCTGCTAAGGGTGTTCGGCATCTTGTGCTTACTTCCTTGCGTACGGATGACAGCTACGTATGACTTAATTTATTTTCTGGTGCTTTCACTTCCAGAGACAGTTGTAAGCACTGTGTAACTGCCTCGAGGAAGCTTGACCATTTTAACACAACGTGGTGCGATCATCCCCCGTTGCGCGGAGTGAGGTTTCTCCACCCCGCATAACATGATCTACTCGACCACCATTATGGTTACCGCCAAAAAAAAAAACGAGGTAAAAAAAAAACCGGTAACCTGGTTGCCGAGTTCACGAAGTGAATTGGCTTGTTTTACAACGTCGTTGCCAAGCGACGAAAACCCAATCCCGATGGCAAACACCGAGTGGGGGGCTTGTTTTACAACGTCGTTGCCAAGCGACGAAAACCCAAACCCCGATGGCAAACACCGGGGGGGGCGGCTTGTTTTACAACGTCGTTGCCAAGCGACGAAAACCCAACCCCGATCACCGGGGGAGGGGGGGGGTGATAAAATGACAGATTTCGAAAAAAAGTCATCCGAGTTGAACTGTTTCGTGGAGTGCCACGATGTCTCGGTGATATCTAGCGAAAGTACACACGATGCCGATACACCATCACCTTGCTGCAACAACGACAGCTGTTCTAAACGTCATGTGACAATTGACGGCTTTGCTTTGGTAACATGATGTACTTGGGAGGACAGCGGTGTCACAACACGCACTCTTATTGCAGGCAACGTGCGGGTAGGCTATTTCCAATGGGACCTGGGCGCCTCATACACGGTGCTACGACCCCACAACTAAACGATAACCACGTGCATGGTGCTCTCACTTTCCAGCTGGTTCACTTTAAGGCTTGACATCTCCAAGGCCCCCCTCTGCTCCTCAATCTCCGCTTCCAGATGGGTTGCCGAAGCCCTTGCCTCGGACAGCTGTGCCTTGAGGGCGCGCACATCCTCAGTCAGCTGAGCCCCCTGCTGCCGTGACTCCTCCCACGCCATCTCAGCACCTACCCTAGCACTCTCCGACCTCCTTGCATCGGCCTCTGCTGCCATGCGGGCCTCGTTCACGCGTGTGATTTCATCTTGAGCACCACACAGTTCCGCGTTGACCATGCTCAGGTCTCGGCGCAGTCCTTCAATGTTCGTAGCGTTGTCTTGAGCAGTAAGTACGGCCACGTTGGCACGCTCCAGTTCCTGACGCAGTGCTAATACATGTACGGCATTCTCCTGAGCGGTACGGGCGGCCGAAGCGTAGACACCCGCCAGGTGCCGGCGCGATTCTTCGGCCTGCGCGGCACTCTCTTCAGCAACGGATGCGGCCCCTTGCTTCGTGTTTGCTAGTTCGTCGCGCAGCTCTTGAGCATGTGCAGCGTGCTCCCTTGACGCGCGTGCCGTCACCCTCAATAACTCGTTACCCAATCCTGCAGCTTGCTCTGCATATTCTCGCTTCATTGCCATGGCTCCCGCCTTAAGTCTCTCAACTTCCTTACGAAGTCCTTCGGCTTGCCTTATCGCCACAGATGTGCCGTGCAAAACTCTCTCGGCGTCGCCCTCTGCCCGGCTGGCCGCCGCGTCTTTCTCTGGGTACATGAAACAACGACATTTTTCGACAAAATAGGGCATCCTTTTTGTGAGTTGTACAAGAGCGTCTACTGGGCTCTAGGCAATCAACCTATGGCCAAGACGTTGTCGAGTGTAGCGGGTTCAACCAAAATGGGAAATGACATGCCCTCATAGGCGTTTCTGCTCGAATTATGCCAAACAAGAATTACCTTTGAGCTGAGCACGGAGTGTTTGCACGTCGTCCGTTAGTTCCGTCACTCTCTGCAGCGACTCTCGAAGCCGTCTCTCCTGCGCGTCTGCGTGCGAACGGAGCTCGCCTAAGTTGGTAGTGGCCTCTGCAACCTGTCCTCGGTACGTATGGGCGACCTTTGACAACTCCGTGAGTTTTTGCGAGGAATCAGCTAGGTCCCCCTCCGCCTGGGACGCCTGCAGTCGTGTATCCTGGAGCAGAGTTTCCAGCTCGACTACTCGTTGTGATAATTGTTGGGCGCTGGTTTCGGCAACGCCTTGCGCCTCATGCCTGCGCTTCGCCTCCGTCTGGGATGTTTCTACCGCAGCACGGGCCTCAGCGAGGTGTCCCGTGACGGTCTGCGTTCCCTCTTGAGCCAGCTTCACATCCTCCTGCGCCCCCTCGAGCTGTGCTTGTATCGTGGTCGCGATCTCGACCGCAGCGCACCTCGCATCCTCTCCGGCTTGTGCAGTGGCTTCTGCCGTTGCGCACGCTGCTCGACAGTGAGTGATTTCTTCTAAAGCTTGCCGCAACTCCTGCGCTTGCTTAGCAGAAGCGTCGCGGAGAGCGCTTTGCTCCGACTGGGAGTTGGCATCTCGAACTACAATCTCTTCCTCAAGCTCGGACACTCGCGCCTGCAATCGATTGCGCACTTCTGCTTCCCGGGTCTGTGCTTGCTCTTTGGCGAGCTCGACCGCGGAGTTGTTATCCCGAGCAGCAGCTAAAGCGTCTTCCATCTCCTGCACAAACGAAAAGCACGGACATTGCGTCGCAAGCGAGCGAGTAGCCGTGCAGGTTTGCAGCAGCACACCACAATGAACGGTGCCAACCTCAAGCCCACTCGAACGCAACCCGTCATGCACAGCAGTGCGTGTCGAAAGAACACCATGCCAAGAACACAGAGAGGTTCAGCGTTCCGACACGCAACTCGATGTGCTGCATGTAGTGAGGAGACTCACCCTCGTTGCTGACTTGAGCCAGCGGAGCTGGTCAAGAGCTGTCGAGTGCTGGCGCTGTTCGTCGACGTCTTCACCGCTGCCGTCGTTGCTCTTGTCCTGAACGCCTGTTGCACTGATCGCGCCGTACACCTCGAAAAGTCTGCAGAAGTTGCACGCCGACCGAGTATAGGGTGTAGGCTCGGTCAGTCGCTGTGTCTCAAGCTTCTACAACTCAGCAGGTTGATTGTTACACAGAAAATCCCGAGTAGTCTGCTGCGCTCTTCGCCCACAGCTTTATCATTGAAGCATCCTCTCGACGTTATCCTGCTGCGCGACAGGATAAGTCAAAGAGTGCTTGGCGAGGCATCCGTGCGAGGAATGCGGCAGTGAACGGGACGGTACCTCTTCCTGCAGGCCCTGGTTTCGTCGGTGGCCACCTCTAACCTTGCCTCCGCCTCGTCAACTTTGTCTTGGAATAGCATGTAGGTTTCACCCTAGCCAGAGCAGACGAGCGAAAAGAAAGGATTAGGCCTTGCGTCCGCACGCTCACTCGGTGGGGACTACATACTATAGACCCCCCCCCCCCCCCCCCACCCGACAACACGAAAGACACCCCACTCAGCATCTCGTTTCCAACTTGCCATACAGAACGAAGGCACAACAATCATCGTGATATCCGGTTGCTTCCCGTTAGCATGCAGTACCAAGTATGTGCTACGTCTGCGTAGCATGGCTGGCCCTGGAACCTCCGAAAATTCTACACCGGTCCGTATGGGACTTATTAACTGGAGGCCACGCATTCTGCAGTAGCTCCAAGGTGCTTCAATGTGATCAGACTGCAGATTTCGATCAAGGGGAAAACGGCAGCAAGCCCGCAAAGGGATGCAACACCAGACGGGGTGTCCGTCGAACCGAACCGAACACGACCAACATGACTCACCTTCCTGAAGGCCTCCATCCTGCTCTGGAGTTCCCTTGCTATGGAGTGCCAACGGCCCTCATCGTCAGCCAGCTTTTCATTAGACGTCGTCAGCCGGGCGACCTCGGTCTCGAGTTGCTGGTTGGTTGCCTTTGCGGCCTTCACCTTTTCCCGGCAGACCAGAGAGCACGAAGGAAGGACAGTCGGGAGGGCTATGAATGGGCATCTTCGGCATTGGGACCCAGCTTGAGATCGTTTTCATGTTAGAGAAAGGCAGGAACACTACATGGTGTTCGAGTATGGTCGCAAGTATGGTCACAACATATCCAGCATTTATGTGCTGCTTAGCCTTCAGATTTCCGACTTGCAGCGCATCTTTTGACACTCTTCGAGGATACAAGGGAATACCACATTTCCCGTCGATTTTCAACGATGCGTTCGATTCCGGCGGAACAAGGGTAATTGAATCGCTGAGGGATTGGACCGACTCAACATCGAGTAGCAGCGATCTGGTCTTTGGGGAACAGGTGAAGGCGGCAAAGGCAGCCAACAAGAAACTTGGGACCGAGGTCGCCCGGCTGAAGATGTCGAATGAAAAT